GACCTCCCAGGCTCAAGCAATTTTCCTGCCTCATCCTCCCAAGTAGCTGGGACTATAGACATCCACAGCCAAGCCAGCAGGAACTGTTTTCTTGATTTCCTTCTTGGATCATTGACTGTTAGTGTGTAGAAATGCAACTGACTTGTATGTTGATTTTATAATCCTGAAACTTGGACAAATTAGTTCTAACAGTTTATTTTGTGCAGTCCTCCGGATTTTCTACAAAGATGATCATGTCATTTGTTAATAGAGAAAATTTTACTTCTTCCTTTCCAATTTGGATGCCTTTTCTTTTTCCTTTCTTTCTTAATAGCTCTGGCTAGGATATCTAGTATTGTGAAACCAGGCATCATTGTTTTATTCATCATCTTGGAAAACTTTGTCTCTCATCACTGAGGATGATATTAGCTGGAGGTTGTTCATATGACCTTTATTACGTTGAGGTTGTTTCAATTTCTAGTCAGTATGTTTTTAATCATTAAAGGATATTAAAATTCCTTAAATGCTTTTTCTGTACTAATTGAAACAAATTGTCCTATGTTTTCTTTCCTTCATTCTGTTCATGTGGTATCTTAATGTTTATATGGTAACCACCTTTGCATTCCAGGGAGAACTAACTCTCACTTGATCATGTTGTATAATTCATCTATGACACTGTTGAATTCTCCTTATTAGTGTTTCCTTGAGCACTTTTGCATCTGTATTGATCAGGGATAGTTGTGTGTTTTCTTCTGCTGGTTTGTCTGCCTTTGGTATTAGTAATGCTGGCCTCACAGAATGAGCTTTGGAGGTATTCTTTTCTCAGGATTTTTTGAAGATGAGCAGGATTGGTATTCATTCTGTAAATGTTTGGTGCAAGTCACCCTTGAAGCCATCTGTTCTTGTACTTTTCTTTCAAGTTTTTGGTCAGTGATTCAATCTCCTTGGTAGTTATGTCAGTTTTTCCATCTTCCATTTCATTTATTTCTGTTCTAACCTTTATTATTTCCTTCCTTCTCCTAGCTTTGGGTTTAGGCTGTTCTTCGTTTTCTAATAATTTAAGGTACAAAGTTAGGATTGTGGTTTGAGAGCTTTTTCCTTTTTATTTGACAGAGGGTCTTGCCACTTGCTGAGTTAGTCTCAAATTCCTGGGCTCAAGCCATCTCCTGGCCTCAGCCTTCCAAGTAGCTGGGATTATAGAACAGTGTCAATATGCCTGTCTGCTGCTGCTTTGTGTGTGTGGAGGGGTGGGGGTTGGGGAAAATGGAGTCTAGCTGTCTTGCCTAGGCTGGCATGCAGTGGTGCAATCTCGGCCCGCTGCAACCTCCTCTTCATAGGTTCAAGTGATTCTGCTGCCTCAGCCTCCCAAGTAGCTGAGATTACAGGTGCTTGCCACCACCACACCTGCCTGATTTTTATGTTTCTAGTAGAGATGGGGTTTCGCCACGTCAGCCAGGCTGGTCTTGAACTCCTGACATGAGGTTATCTGCCTGCCTCATCCTTCCAAAGTGCTGGGATTACAGATGTGAGCCACCGCCCTTGGCCAGTTTTTTTTTTTTTTTTTTTTTTTGAGACAGAGTTTCACTCTTGTTACCCAGGCTGGAGTGCAATGGCGCGATCTCGGCTCACCGCAACCTCTGCCTCCTGGGTTCAGGCAATTCTCCTGCTTCAGCCTCCTGAGTAGCTGGGATTACAGGCACGCACCACTATGCCCAGCTAATTCTTGTATTTTTAGTAGAGACTGGGTTTCACCATGTTGACCAGGATGGTCTCAATCTCTTGACCTCGTGATCCACCCGCCTCGGCCTCCCAAAGTGCTGGGATTACAGGCTTGAGCCCCACCACGCCTGGCCTTGGCCAGCTTTCTTTAATGTAAGTATGTACAGCTATAAATTTCCCTCACAGCACTGCTTTCATTGCATCCCATAAGATTTGATACGTTTTATCTCAAAATACTTTGTTTTCCTTATCATTTTTCTTTGATCCATAGATTTGTGAATATTCCCGTTATCCTCCTGCTATTATGATTTCAGTCACTTAAAATGTATTAAATCTTGTTTTGAGGCCTAATATATGATTTTTTCCAGACAACATTCCACATGTACCTTGAAGAATGTATATTCTGCTGCTGGGTGAACTCATCTGTGTATATCTGGTAGGTCCAATTCATCTATAGTATTGTTGAAGCCCTCTGTTTCCTTCTTGATCTTCTGTCTGGGTGTTGTATCCATTATTGAAAGTGAGTTATTGGGCCAGGCACAGTGCCTCATGCCTGTAATCCCAGCACTTTGGGAGGCCAAGACAGGTGGATCACTTGAGGTCAGAAGTTCGAGACCAGCCTGTCCAACATGGTGAAACCCTATCTCTACTAAAAATAGCTAGGTGTGGTGGCATACAACTGTAATCCCAGCTACTATGAGGCTGAGGCACAGGAATCACTTGAATCCAGGAGGTTGCAGTGACCTGTCTGACGCCGCTGCACTCCAGCCTGGGCAACGGAGTCAGATTCTGTCTCAAAAAAAAGTGACATGTTAAAGTCGCCTACTGTTACCATAGAACTATCTGTTCCTCTTTTCATTCTGTCGGTGTTTCATGTATTTCGGAGCTCTGAGGTGTGCTGCATGCACATTTATAACTGTTACCTCTTTTTGGTGAATTGACTGTCATTATCTCTTAAAACAACTTTTGACCTTAAGTCTAGTTAGTCTGAGATTAGCTCCTCCTCCTTTTTTTTTTGGTTACCATTTGCATGGAATATCGTTTTTCATCCTTTCACTTTCAACCAATGTGTAAGTCTCTGACAGTCTTTTGATTGTAGAATTCATTTGCATTTTTAAAGACTATCATCGGACAAAACTCACTACCCTGGTGGGTGACTGTGCCATGAGGCCCACAGCCAAGGGCTCGGTGAGCAGTTGCTCTGGGAGGACTCCAGCACACCATTTGCGGGGCCTCCCAGTGCCACTCTGTGGATTATCTTCTGCATGGCTCATGGTTTGTTTTCTCTCTCATTTTCTTCCTTCTACCTTACTTTGTGTTAATTGATTTTTTGATGTGACAGACTTAGAATCCCTTCTTATTTATTTCCTTTTGTGCACATTCTATATTTTCTTTGTAATTACCATGAAGATTACATAATACATCCTGAAATTGTAGCAATCAATTTTAAACTAGTAAGTTCAATCACATACAAATAATCTACTCCTTGACAGCTCTACCCCATCCTATGTTGTTGTTACAAAGTATATCTATATTTTAGAGAGAGGGTGTCACTCTGTCACCCAGGCTGGAGTGCAGTGGCACTGTCATAGCTCATTGTAACCTCCAGCCCCTGAACTCAAGTGATCCTTCATAGCTGAGACTACAGGTGGACACCACCATGCCTAATTTGTTGTTTCATAAATTGTATATTTAACACAGACTTATGGTTACACATTTCTTTTAAATCCAATAAAATAATTAAAATCAGAGATATGAATCAAAATTCCAATAACACAAGTCTTTATATGTGGCTTCAAATGTCCACCTAGCATCCTTTTGTTTTGACTTGAAGGACTCCCTTTAGCATTTCTTGCAGCGTAGTTCCCAGTGTAACAAACTCTTTCAGCTTTTATCTGAGAATGTCAATTTCTCTGGTCGGGTGCGAGGTGGGAGAATCACATGAGGTCAGGCGTTCGAGACCAGCATGGCTAACATGGTGAAACCCTGTCTCTACTAAAAATACAAAAACTTGGTGGTGGATGCCTGTAATCCCAAATACTTGGGAGGCTGCACCAGTGTACTGCAGCCTGGAGAACACAGCAAGACCCTGTCTCAAAAAGATAAAAGTGTCTTAATTTCTTCCTTTTTCTTATGAGAGTTCATGAGATGCCTTTATGTTGTAACTTATTGTTGTAACTGAACGAGTGCAAAACACCACCGAGACAGAGACTAGGCCAAATTACAGGGTTTTCATTGCCAGTAGTGATGAGGACTCGAGCCTCAAAGGAAGGGGGTCAAGACCTTTTATGCCTGTAAACCACCTCCTGGGTGGGGGTGAGGGCCAGGGGACTTTGGTCATTCCAGCTGTTACTTAAGTGGTTGACGAAAGTCAAGATAAGCGTAGTTTACACATTGTCTGGGTAGGGTGGAAATCACAGACCTTAGTTACTTATTACAAGTCGCAGGGTCCAAGATGGCGTGGGTCTGGACTGCTTGCTTGTCACATCAGGGTTACAGAGAGCAATTTCAGCAGAAAGCCAGTGTATGGCTGAGGTGTGCAGTTTTATGGGGCATTTCCCATGTCACATTATAACCACCTTTTGTCTTTCAAAATTTCACTATAATTGGTGACTGCTTTTCTTAAATACTTCACTGGTGTCCACGAGAGGGGAAGAATTTAGCCCTTGTTTAAAAAAAATAATAATAAACCCGGCCAGACACGGTGGCTCACACCTGTAATCCCAGCACTTTGGAAGGCAGAGGCAGGTGGATCATGGGGCCAGACGGTTAAGATCATCCTGGCTGATATGGTGCAACCCCATCTCCACTAAAAACACGCAAAAAAAAAAATTAGCTGGGCTTGGTAGCACCTGACTGTAATCCCAGCTACTTAGGAGGCTGAGGCAGAAGAATTGCTTGAACCCGGGAGTTGGAGGTTACAGTGAGCCGAGATTGTGCCACTGCAGTCCAGCCTGGGTGACATAGCAAGACTCTGTCTCAAATAAATAAATAAGCCCTAAGAGGAAGGAAGAGGACCTTAACTGCAGATAATAGTCCATTGTTACCCTGTGGCTATAAATCTTCTGAGTTGCTTGTCCTGCCAGATGTTCTGTTGATGACTGTAGTAGCTGACAATTCTGTATTTGCACGGTCAGAACAATGAGTGCTTCTGCTTCATTCCCAGATTCTCCAACCTTCCTGTGGAGCCACACCACCTGTTGTCTTGGCACCTCATGAGTCCAAGGCTGTTTCCTGAGTGGATCTGCTTGGTAGACCATGACCTTGATTCCTGCCTCTAAGCCTAGCTTTATTCTCGGCAGCCACCACTTTTTGGTACTAGAACAGTGCTTTTTCTAGTACACTCATAAGTGGATGCTGAGATCACAACCTGGCCATTTGGATGTTCAACTAATGCTTTATGCTGCAGAGTCCCTGGAACTCACCGGAGCTCAGGTGTGTAGCACTACCTTGTTACTCCACGGCCGGGAGTGCAAACATTGTTGATGTGTTTATTTTCCATTTTTTACTTTGGAGGTTTTGTTTTGTGAGACAAGGCCTCACTCTGTCATGCAGCCAGGAGTGTAATCATGGCTTACTGTTGCCTTGACTTCCCGGGTTCAAGCCATCTCACCTCAGCCTCCAAAAGTGCAAGGAGTACAAATGTGAGCCACTGTACCTGGCCTACTTTTGAGCTTTGAGTTCTTTATATATTCTGGAGAGGAGTCTGTGATAGGTGGTTTGTAAACATTTTTTTCAATCTGTAGCTTATAATCGAGTCTTTCAGTGAGCAAAAATATGGTCTCTCTTGGCAATACTCTGCTGCTGTAGCAGGAGAGCAGAAACAGACGGTATGTAAATGAACATGTGGATGCATCCCTTGAGTAAGTGTCCATTTGCGGTAAAGAGATCTCTAGACAGATCAGTGCTGAGAGGTTATTTCATTAATAGTTAAGCTGGGTATAAACGCGAACGTCATGCTTACTTTCTCTTACTCCACTGTCTTCTGTTACTGCTGGTGGGAAAGCAATTGTCAACATGTTCTTCCTTCTTTCCACCCTCAGTAGCTTTGAGGACCTGTTCTTTGTCTTTTCTGCAGTGGGTCTAGGTATGGATGGATTTATTGTATTGGGGATTATGCCTCCTGACTCTAAGGGGTCCTGTCTGTTTTCATTCTGGAATTTTTTTTTTTTTTTTTTTTTTTGAGAGACTCCCACTCTGTCACCAGGTTAGAGTGCTGCAGTGAGATCTTGGCTCAATGCAACCTCCACCTCCTGGGTTCAAGCATTTCTCCTGCCTCAGCCTCCCAAGTGGCTGGGATGACAGGTGCACACATCCACACCAGGCTAATTTAGGTATTTTTAGTAGAGACGGGGTTTCACCATATTGGCCAAGCTGGTCTTGAACTCCTGACCTTAGGTGATCCACTCATCTTGGCCTCCCAAGTGCTGGGATTACATTAATGAGTCACCACACCCGGCCTGGAATTTCTTTCAGACATGTTGGATCCTCTCATGTCATCTGCTGTTTGTCGTATTTTCCCATTGATAAATTTTCTCTTCTGCTGTTCAATTCATTAAGTTTTAAATGTCTGTGAATGGCAGCCACTAATTCTGGCATCTGGAGCTCTTGGAAGTACACCTCTTGTCACTGACTTCTATGCCCTTTTAGTGGGGCTTTGGCTGTGGCAATCATATGCAGCACTGGCTAAAGAATCTCAAGGTAGATAGTGTTACAGCTGAATTAGAGGTCCACCCTGGTAGTGGGGACAGAAGTCACCTTCTGTGTTGATGATTTTTGTGGTATGAGAGCAGAGGGAAAACAGGGGCTGAGCATTTTCCCTAAACGGGATGGGAGCAGAAAGCCCAGGGCCTCAATGCCATCATCTCAACCACAGTTGCCTCCTACAGCCTGGGGACCTGTTGCACTGGAAACAGAGTGGTGCATCCTGCAGAGGCTCTTGGTGGTGGGACCCAGACTCACCGTGGTACCAGAGGCCCAGAGTCAGGCTGTAAAGGCCAGTAGGGATGTCACAGGAGATGGAGACCCCGTCCTCACTGGCCAGCTCAATCCTGGGGACATTACTCCTTGTCATGGCAGGAGGCAGCTGGAAGTCTGGACAGCTGTCCCCCAGCAGGAAGGAGTTGTACAGCCTGTAGGCCAGAGCAGGTGGGCAGGAGGTCTGACTTACAGATGGGACAGGCTTGAAAAGGCTGACCCCCAGGCAGCCTACCACATACGCAGGTCTCTGGGGAAGCTTGGGCCTCTCCTCACCTGCAGGCTGGGGTAGAAGATGACGGTCATGTGGTTCAGCTCCACAGTCAGGGCCTGTCCAACTCAGCATCATCAGGGAGAATGTGTTGTGAGCAAAGTCTTGGGCCAGGAGGATGCTGCTGCACTGGGAGCTGAGGTCCCACACCCGGCCGTTGAAAGTCACCATGTGCTGGGCCCCGGCCACCAGGGCATGGTCTGGGGAGAAGCAGCCCAAAAGACAGGGTGAGTGAAGCCACAGCAGTGGGAACCTGATGCCTAGAGGCCCAGCTTAGCCTGCCCTGAGGCCAGGAGTCCCCCTCCTGCTTCAGGATGACATGAGCTGAAGGGCTACGCCCAATTCAGCGCTAACAAGGAATGCCTGGCTCAGAAGCCACATATTCTATGCTTCTGTTTACATCAGATGTCCAGAGCAGGCACAGCCATGGACACAGCAGGCAGACTGGTAGCTGCAGGGTTTCAGTTTAGGATGATAAAAACGTTTTAAAATCGATTGTGGTGAGGCGTGCACAACTTTGGGTAAACTAGAAGCCACTGAATCGTGCACTTAAAATTCACAGATCAGCTGGGCCCAGTGGCGCTAAGCCATCCCAGCGCTTTGCAGGGCTGAGGCAGGAGGATCACTTGAACCCAGGATGTCAAGGGTGCAGGGAGCCTAGATCGCACCACTACACACCAACCATGACACAGGGTGAGACTTAGTCAAAAAAAAAAAAGTCATCCATCTAATCTCAAGGAAGCTACTGGGTGGGGGAAACTGACTGTTTGAGGGAACCATTAGCCATCCACTTAAACATGACAGTGGTGTCCTGCGGACCTGCCCTCTTCCAGGTAGGGAAGAGATGGCCTGTGAAGGAACAGGTCTGACCAGTCCAGCCAGTGTGGCCCCTGAGCTGTGCCTTGGGGGTGCTCATGCTGCTGGCAGGGAAGCACCGTCTATGGTGCACAGCCAGGGACCTGTTGGCCAGGGCCAGCATCCCGAGGGAGGCACTAGCCTCATGGTCAGCTGTCAGAACTGAGGGGCACGGAGAAGCCCATGATTACACACAACTTGAAGACCAGGCTGTTTTCTACAGCATCAGTGTGCGGGTTGGACATGACTACACCCATGTTGCTAGGAAGCTGTAGGACTCCTTGTGAGTCCCACACAGATAAACTACTCCTCACCAAGCCTGGGTACCATGGCTTCCCCCCGACCATGAGGGGCTCCCTTGTGCATTAAGAACTGTACATGCCACTTACCCATGTGAGCAAGCCACGTTGTTACCTGCATTTCACAGAGGAGAAATCAAGTCTGCAGAGGTTAGCAGTCTCACTTGAGCCACATGCAAGCTCCCCAGGAGCCTAGAGCCGGTCATCCCGGCACAGCCCTTGGCTGCAGGTTGCCCCTGACCAGTGAGTCTGACCTCAATTTGTGATTTTCCAGCTGTAATGGGAGGTCTGCCTGCTGCTCCAGCAGAGCCCACAGGGAGGGAGCTGGCCTGAAGCCCTAAACCACACATTATACCCTCTGCTGGTCCAGGCCTTATAGTCTGGACAAAAGCAGAATGTGCAGCCTCAGCCCTAGTCCCATAGGACCTTGGGAAGTCCGGTAAGCTCTGGACCTGGCACTGTGATGCCATAAGCCTCTGCAGGCTTCCCTGTGCCCTGGCAGTACCTGCCCCTGCATGGCACTGCTGCTGTGCCCACAGCACAGGGGGATCCCAGGGAGGAGGCTGGCACAGCCCAGGGCAGGAGTCACATTCCCAGAGACCCTACAGCAGGCAGCATGAGCCAGTAGAACTCGGCCAGGACGTTGGCCCTGGACAGTTCTTGGAGCAGCTGCAGCAGCTCCTCCACCCGGTAGCTGGTCACCCAGGCCCCGTCCAGGGCTCACCCGCCCCCCCAGGCAGCAGTGCCAGCATCACCACCACTGAGTAGCTCCCTAGAGGGAACACACAGGACAAGTCACTATGCGTGGCCCAGCCTTGCTTCCTTTGGCTGCTTCCTCGGGGAGGGGCTCTCCTCGTTTTAGGAAATTCCATACCGAGGTGGAGGACAGAGGCCGGCATGACAGCAGAGGTAGGGAGTGAGGCCAGGACAGAAACAAGCTGCCCTATTGTGAGGATGCAAACGTCATGCCTGATCTGCCCTCTGGGTCTTGGGCAGCATGAGGCCTCTGTGTGGGGACGCCGCGGACAGGAGCTGGAAGGTGTAGGAAATTTTTTTTTTTTTTTTTTTTTTTTTGAGACAATCTCATTCTGTTTCCCAGGCTCAAGTAGAGTGGTGCTATGTTGATCCTGTGACCTCTGCCTCCTGGGTTTAAGCGAGTCTCTTGTCTCAGCCTTGGCAGTAGCTGGAACTACATGCACTCACTGCCATGCCAGCTAATTTTTGTATTTTTAGTAGAGTCAGCATTTCACCATGTTGGCCAGGCTGGTCTCGAACTCCTGATCTCAAGTGATCTGCCCAAAGTGCTGGGATTACAGGCATGAGCCACTGTGCCCGACCAAGAGGTCTAGAAAATTTCTGCAGTTGAGGGGAGGACTGGAACTTTCTCAATATGTAGAGCAGGGTCAAGCCTGTGATATCTGAATGATCAGGGAGATCTCGGCTCACATGGGGGTGGAGTGGGACAAGGATCATTGCTCACTCTGTTATTGATGGGCCAGTGGCCTCACTTACCTTCTAGGGAACCCAGAGGCCCTGCAGCTGGGGGCAGGAAGATCCTCAATGCCCTCCCTGCCAGTTGAACCCATTTTTTGGCACATCTCCAAATCCCACTCACCAGGTAGGCAAATAACCAGGCAGGTGATTCTTCAGCCATGCCAAAGCCCCGTCCTGAGAGCTCTTTCCTTCCTCAGCCTACATTCTGACCCCAAGGTGGCAGAAGCAGGAACTTGTATTACAAGGATGTGGATTTAGTCCGTATTCTACAGCTGGGGAAACTGAGGCACATAGAGCCAATGTAGAGGAATCCTTGTTGGAGGGAGAGCAGGAGTCCAGATGCTCTGCAAGGCCACCAGCCCGGTTCCTGGTGAGCCTCATGCCTGTGAGAGAAAAGGATACCGGGTCCTCCACTTCTATCCACCACTCCCGTGTTCTCACCACAGGGACCAAAGGGGCCTTTTGCAGTGAAAGGGTGATCTCATCCTGCCTAGGTCAGAGCAGAAGCCAGAGTCCTCCTCCCCACCCCTAGCTTTGGGACCTCCCAGTCCCTCACAGTTGCATCAGCCCTGCCACTTGGCTATTCAAACAGGCCAGGCATGGTGGCTCATGCCTGTAATCCCAGCACGGAGGCTCTGGATCCCAGGATTCTGAGACCAGCCTGGCTAATCTAGTGAAACCCCATCTCTACTAAACATAAAAATTAAGCGGGTAT